TTATTTCTCACTACTTCTCTACCCCTTTGAGTCCTTGGACTAGCTATCCTTTCTATCTCTGCTTGGGAATTTTCCTTCTCTTCATGGTCCTGGGGTGCATCACCATAAATGTGTGCACCTGTCAGGATAAGCGAAGGTACACCGAAGTAAAAAAAAAAACAAAAACAAAAAAAACAAAAACAAAAACAAAAACAAACCTCAAAATCTCAGTGGCTTACAATAACCAAAGTTTATGTCTCACATGTTAGTTACCGATTGGAAAGTTGCTAGCTTCCTCATAGTCTCTTAAAATGGACAATAGCCCCCCCCCCACGCACTCTTAAATGTTGCTAGTTCAAAGGGAAAAGGGCCCTGGAGGGTCTCAATGCTGACGAAATGCTCAGCTCAGAAGCAGCACATTCCACTTTTGCTCATACTTTTTTGTTCAACTGTGGTTGACTTCTTGGAAGACCTCCCCTCCCAGAAGTAATCTGCCAATTGATTCTGTGGTTCTTCCACGAGAGAGGCATTCTTTTGATTCTCCAATAGTATTTCCTATGTTGCAACCATCAGAAAACTTCTATTAGAAACCAGAGACACTCCTTGGTCAAATAGGATTGTGAAATGCTGGGGCTGAATGAGATGAAATGGATCTTTCCTTCATGGGCCTCCTTGGAGAGCTGTTTAATACTCTGGTGGGGATGTTTCTTCTTGAGAGGGGACATGACAGCATTTCCCTACTGTGAGTACCAAAAAAAGCAGAGCCTCTGTGGAGACTCCTACAGCTCAAAGGTCCAGTTTAGACAATGCTGGGCTGGAAGCCCTAGTCCCCTCACTGAAGAGATGATGCGGGTGAATGAAAGTCACAAAGTTAAGGCCTTGGGAGGGTAAGCCAGGGAAAGGGCTGGTATCTTAGTCACTGGTCTATTGCTGTGAAGAGACACCAAGACCAGGGCTTGCTTACAGTTTCGGAGATTTGGTCCATTTCATCATGGTACTGGAATAGTAGTTGAGAGCTACTGGAACAGTAGTTGAGAGCTACATCCTCGTCTGCAGGCAGAGAGAGAGAAAGAGAGAGAGAGAGAGAGAGAGAGAGAGAGAGAGAGAGAGACTTGGCCTGGTGTGGGCATTTGAAACCTCAAAGCCCATCCCCCAGTGACACATTTCCTCCAACTAGGCCATACTGTAGTAAGCTTTCTTGTTGGACTTTCTTGGACTGCCAGCCCGAAAATAATGACACCGAGATTTAAAATTAATTATGAAAGCTTGGCCTTTAGTTTAGGCTTTTTCCGAACTAGCTCTTATAACTTAAATTTACCTGCTTCTGTTAATCTACATTCTGCCTTGTGGCTTTTGCCTCTCTTCCATTCTGTATGTCCGACTAGCTCTGAGTCTTGCTGGCGTCCCTGCCTCTCTTCCTCCCAGAGTCTTCTCTCTCCCTGGAAGTCCTGCCAATTCTCTCCTGCCTAGTTACTGGCCATTTAGCTCTTTATTAAACCATTCAGAAAGAGTCTTAGGCAGAGACACATCTCTACAGTGTAAAAAAATACTCTGTAACACCATACCTCCTAATACTTTTCTTTGATGACGGAGCATTCAAATATTCATATATTTTGAATGGCCTATGGGGGCCATTCTTATTCAAACCACCACAACTGGGGAGACTGAGGGACTGAAATGGAGAGGCAGGTAGGTAGATCAAAAGTGGTCCTCCCCCAAGGATGGCCAATGACCTGGAGCTTGGCAGAGTAAAGTCCTGTGCCTCACCTCACCACCCTGTCTGTAAGGATGCTGCTTACATCTCCTCTCACCCTGTAAAGTCCACAGTTTGATACTATGCCCACACTCAGCCGACAGTGTTTATAGAATTCAGAGTTGTCCTCTGCGGTTGTTCTGGCCAGCTCCCATCTGGAACATTTCTAATAGATCTTTTAGCGGTCATCTAGGCTGCCACCGCCAAGAAGCCATTTCTGACTCCCTTCACTACTCCATCTGACCCAGATGACGAACCACCCTTCCCTCATACTTCCACGAGCCTTTGTGTGGCCCCCAGTGTCTTCATACTGCTTCTTCATCCAATCTGGCAGCTCCTGGACGCCTTTGTCTTCACATCTCTGTACCTTCCCCTCACAGGTAGTAGATATCCCACAATGACGCATAAAAGAGAGTCAGGAATGGAGCAGGGATGGGGTTAACATGTCTTACACATGCTGCTTTTAGGAATTTCCCAAGTTTAGATAACTTATTCTGCACATTCAAAACATTGCCTCCCTTTCTAGCATTATACAACTCCATGGTGATCTGACATCCTGGGGGTGCACCTCATCTCTCAACTTCCCTCAGCTGTCCACATACCTGATCCATCTTCCTTCTCACCTGCCTCTCTGCTTCTGCTCCCTCAGTGGCTAGTATGCTCTAGGACATTTATTCTGGCTTTTCTTAAAAAAAAAAGTCATTAACGAACCCTGGATATTAATAACCTGTTCTTAGCAAATGCAAATATCTTGAGAAGACAATCCCACTTAGAGGATTTTGGGAAGAAGCCTTGTCAAGGTTGAGGTTGGTTTTACAATTAGCAAGAAGGGGGAACTTGAGGGAAGGGAACTGAGGATGGGAGTGTATGTTGCCAGTGGCCACTCAGGTTATATCAGGACTTTTGTGGCTCCAGGCACTTCCACCTCTGTGAGCATCTTCTCCATAAAAACAAAACAAAACAAAACAGAAAACATATTTTCCTGTCTTGTCATAGATACTAATTTAGTAGGTGTTGGATTCATGATCATATGTATTTATTATTATGTCAAGAATAAAATAGACCTTAAAATATGTCCATAAGTCAAACTATTTCCTGGATTTCCAAAAAGACTGTGTTCCCTTGGCCTTGCGTCAGCTGTTCCTAATGGCAGTCTAGCCTGAGCCCACCTTCCTACACACTGTGACTTGAATGCCCACGACTCTTCCGTCACTTTGGGTCACACCACCTCTACTGCCTGAAATGTCTGTCACCCAATCCAGCCCAGCCTCCACTCTGTCTCACTCTTTGTCATGTCCTGTCCACACCCATGGTCCAGTTACAATGTCACTTTCTCCTGCCAGATTCAGCAAACTAAACTACAGGATATTTAATTCAACATGAATGTAGGTAAATAATAACCCATGTTTTTAGTATGAGTATGTTTTACATATCACACATCCCAGATATTGGAGCAGACACGCTTATAATAGGAAATTATGTGTGTTTTTCTGAATTTAACTTTAGCAGAATAGCCTGCCTGTATTTTATCTGATGACCCTATTCTGTAATATTTTTCTTTCTGCCCTTCCTCTTACCTGTTGCTCCTGTCAAGGCACTTTCTACGTACTTTTGTTACCAGCTACCTCCTGGGGAGTGTCGCTGGCTGCCCCCACACTCCCCGGTTTCCAGTCCCATCTCCATTACCATCACCTGCTGTGGCCTGGCAGCGTGGCAGGGAATGAGTAGTTGTGTGTGACTAAATGTGTGTTTTCCCTTATTTCCCCAACTCTGTTTATTCTCAGGGATGACTTGGCAGCATTTGGTTTTAATTTCATTCAGGATGTCGTGTGGCTAAGGCTGAAGATGAGTTAACTATTGCATGGGGTTACAGTAGCAACCCCGCTAATGTGTCTCAACAAGACACTCAGGATTCGACATGTCATCACCCGGTGGAAAAAAGCCAGAGGCCTCTAGCTGAGACCTGAGACCCTCTCTGCCGTTTGCAAGGGTGGACCACATGGTGGTGGCGGCAATGTCTCCGGTTCCCTCTTCTCAGGGATTCTGTTTTCAGGGTAAGCTGGTTGTAGCTCAAACAGAAATCTGTGTAGGAGATACTCCTTTTGGTTTTGAGTCTCAGAAAGTGATGAGATTAAAGACACATGCCACCATGCCCTGCAAGAGTGGATCCATTCTTCTAAAAGTGATCTTGAACCTGCTTCACTTGGTACTCACCCAGGATTCCTTGCTTAACACAGAAGGAAACCCTCCTCAGATGTCATGACTGCAAGCCACATGGAGTTGAAGAGCCTAGTGCCCATGAGAGCAGCTCCTGTGAGAGGACACACACCTGTGAGAGACCCAGCTGCCAGACAGGCAGCATGAGCCTGGGAAGACTGTCACTAGGGATGGTGAAAGTTCCCTTTTCTATTTTTAAGGATTTCCCAACTTTCAACACACTTACTCTTCTTGGTTGAATGAAATTTCCAAAGTTGGCCACTGGTTGTTTTGTTTTTCTTGGTGAGCCAGAAACCACGATGCCCAAATATACCAAATGTAGAGGGTGTGTGTGTATGTGTGTGTGTGTGTGTGTGTGTGTGTGTGTGTGTGTGTGTGTGTGTGTGTGTGGTCTGCTCCTTTCATTCAGTCCAGGATGATCACATGTCCTCTCTAGTCTATTCCCACCAAACTACAGTAAACTACAGCTATCTGCACAGTTCTAGCAATTCTGCTACATTACCATGTAGAATCAGGGACTGTCTAGGCTCTTGCTTGCCTCAGGGTCTTGCTTAGGTTGCTGTTTCTGCTGAGATGCTTCTGATTGGTTGACACGACTTCTTATATTTAGTCCCAAGGTCACCTCTAAGTAGGCTCTCCTGTTACTTTTAATCACAGTATACTGCTTGCATTCTTGGTAATATCCATCATACCGGCCACTACAACACTACAATATCGAAGACCATGCCTTCCTCCAAACAATCTCAGTTCTCCAAGGCCAAGGACTTATTTATTTATTTACCTATTTATTCCTTGCCACTTTCGGGTCTCCAGGGCTCTGAACGGTGCCTGGCACAATGTAGGCACACCATAAATATTTGTTGAATGAATACATGAAGAACAACTTTCCCTGCACCTGAGTAGTGATTGGTTATGAGGACTTGCTGAGTATGGTCATTGACCAACTACAGCACTGTATGGTGGTGAAGGGCACAGCTCTCCATCAATATCTGATGCATGCCTGGCCCTGCCAGAATTCACTGGTACTTGAGGAAATAAATACAATGGCACAGAAAGCAATAAAAATGAGCTTTTATTTGTAAAAAGTTACAAAATGATATTGTACAAAAATAAAGTCTGTAGAGAACTTTGGTTGTATAACACAAATGACCAAGACAGATCAGGGAGATCAGAACTTCCAAAGAAGCGTGCTCCTTACTGTGTCAGATGGTGATGACAACATTAAAGAGAAAAAAAATCACAAACTTTACCCTTCTGTGGACTTGGTGGGGCAGCTTGCTCCCATTAGAACCTGCTTGCAGTGTGTAGACAATGCTGAGCAGGGGACTCCCCCCAAGAGCTGGTGGCTGGGTCTGGACCTGGGAACGTCAGCTACCCCATCTGCCAGGATTCTCTGGATTGAACAGGGGATCCTGAACTACATCTGAATCGTGCCAGGCAGCTGAGGGCATCGCCATTTTGAGCAGGAGAGGATGAGAGAGCGGCCCTGGCCTCCATTTCCTAGTCCTGCAGAGGGCGTGGAACCATACATAACTTGGGTCTTTAGGGCCATGGAAGTCGGGGGCAGAGGGGGATGTCCAGCAACTTTTACCTCTTGGTTACTTTGAAGTTTTGACGTGATTATTTAAGAAAGGCCAATTGGTCCTACATTGGGGGATGGCAGCCATGAAGGAAGCGATAAATTAATTTCTGCATAAAAATTCCATTTATGAACTGTGTAACAAGCTCTAACATAGGACTCTAACATGCCAGCTGCTAGATGGGTACACTGTGGGGACAGTTAGAGGTGCCATTCCCACCATCTACTTCCTCTCCCCTCTACACCATGAAGATGGGCCTCATATGTCCTGTGGCCAGTTAGACGCCACAATCTTTCCTTCCAGTCTTTCTTCTATAACCCATTGGATTAGAAGTGATCCCAAATGTTGAACCCAGGTGACAACTGAGCCCCAGCCAGGGACAAGGCCGATAGCTTCTCCCGGCAAGATTCCCCATGTGCTCCTGCCTGTGTGCCTCCAAGGGAGGAGGTAGGCGGGTGGGCAAGAATGGAGGCAGAGGTGCCACCAGGCAGGGATAAGCCTTGGCTGCCTGGCATGTCCTTCATTTCACCTTTGGGTGACAGTAAGTCCAGGACTACCAAGGGGAATTCAGCCTTCTGTATATGTGGTTATGATGTCACACATGTGGACGGGAAGTAGAGCTTGACAGAAGAGACAGTGGAGCTGGGGGGAGGGGGCTCTCTGCTCAGTGGGCGGAGCAAGGATGAGATGGAGCCGGGTGGCATCAGCACTGGGACTGCCAGTGAGGGGGCAGGGCTGAGATGCTCCTTTAACAGATAAAAAGCAGCAGGGGCTGGGGTGGAGTCGCCTAGCAGGGATGAGGCCCTGACTTCCATCCCTCGTGTGGGTGTGGAGCTATGGTGTGGTGTCTGAGATTCCAACACCACAGGAAGTCAGAGGATCAGAAAGCCAAGCTCACCCTTGACCAAGCAGTAAGTTCAAGGTCAGCCTAGGCCACAAGAGACCCTGTCCACAAAAAGAGGGGGAAATCTGGGGCAGTTAGTGAAGGATTGTCTTATAAAGGTAAAGTAAGTGATTTTTGCCTAGCGAAAACCCTTTTAATACTTTGAAGAGCATGGACCCTTGTTCCCAATTAGTATTTCCTTTTGTCCCTTTTTTTTTTTTTTGTATTTTGTGAGCACATATACTTTGGCACCTTTGAAAAGAGACTTTAATAAATAAGGGAAGAAGAGAGAAATTCATTAGTGAATGGTAATAAATAACAATAACTTAAATCTCAATAAATATCTTCTCTATATCTCTGTATTTGAAACAGATGCATTGCATCGAGTAGCTTCTCTGGTCACTGGTGACCACGCATAAATGAAGCTGTGTATGTAACGTCAGTCTCTGTAAACCGACAGGCCCCGAGGTCTCCCTGCTGGGGGCAGCCGGGGGGCCCTTCCGCACTAGCTCTCCTAGGAGAATGCTGCCGATAACCACAACTTGCTTCCTGTTTCCGAGGACATCAAGGAAATGCCTTCTGGTTTGTTTTTAAGCAGGAGGACAGCCTTTTGGGTTCCTAGCCAACTTCTCCCTTACTCCATACACGGTGTTCAAAATCAACCACCAAGCATCCCTCCCGCCCCCCAACGCTGGATATAGTAAACCTCAGGCCTCAGTTTTCAAAGGGTATGATCTCTCTGTGCCTCTGCTTCCGTCCCTCTTCCCCTCTCCTTTCCAGGGTGTGAATCCGTTGAGTGACAGGAAAATACAGCTTTCTTATTTTCATCAGTAAAACGTAGTGACAAGAGGTGACACCAGAATCATCACATTTCCCCCGGTGTCTTCAGACACGTGATAACGAACCACAGGAGATACGCTGGCTGGCTTGGTTCTTTGCATGCATCCGCGACTCGGACCGCGATCGGTGACCATGGACTGTTATCAGATAAACGCTGGCAACAGCTAAGCAGGGACACCAGCCCTGAGCTTCTGGTGACATCACCTGCCATCCTGGAGTGCTCAGACGGCTGTTCTCACTCCTATCCAGTTTTCTGTAGCTGGGCCTTCTTCTACCAGGCTCCCACGATGGATGCCTTCTTCCGTCTCTCCCTCCTCTCCCTCTTCGTCCTTCTCCGCCTCCGCCTCCTTGGTCCTCATCTTCCGTTCTGGGCAAACATTTCCTGGGAACCTTGGTCCCTTTCTGTGCACTTGTAGCAGGAATGCAATACACAGCAGTCTCTGGAGCCGGAGTCAGATGCAGCCACACCGTTTAGCGGAATGCTTTCTTAGAATATGGTAAACCAGGTTATCGTCTAAAAACGACAGGTCGTCGTCGAATGCGACCGGTCGGCAACAGGCCTGGCCTACTTTGTCACTCACTAGTCTTCTGCTTCGAGATAGGTTTTTTATTATTTTGTCATACATTGTCTCGGCCGCATCACAGGAGCCGCTGCAATACCGGAAGATCAGTTCCTCCTTGGTTTCGTAGCCTAAACCTAAGTCAGTGACATTTAAGTGTATTGCAGTTAAGACACACCCCCGATTTTTGCCCCTCTGGCCTCTGCGGCCCTTCCCTCTGGAATTCTCTGGGCTGGCAGCTGCGGCCTGCCGATTCCTCTCCCTTCGAGGAAGCGCTGCCACTTGCTTATCTGGTGACCTCTTCAGTCTTTTAATGGTGGCTTGAATAAAATCCATGACATCATCAAACTGGTCAGGATAATCTCCAGGCATATTGGCTGTTCGACAAAGCAGAAAACGTCCCATGAGACAACAGTGATCATTTCAGGCAGTCTTCTCAGTCAAAGCGTCACTGGAACTAGCTAGAATTGTACCCACAGCAAAATGACCATCCACCTATGCTAAGCGTTCACAGTGCCCCCCCCCCCAGAAGCATAGGCTAATATGCACCCTCTAACACTTTGCAAACTGTCCGTGTCAAAAGAGAAGAGTCATGTAGTGAGGACACAGTTCCTTAACCCTAAAGAAACAAGTCTTTAAGGGTTAGCTGTTCAGGTGAGTGACGTCTGCCAGGTGACTGTGACCAGGGTGACATCTAAGGTCCTGTTTTATAGCCTTGAATATAGCTCTCACTCACTGAAACACTCTCAAACACTCCCTGAAATCCAGCTTCTGAGCCTCGAACCCAGACTCCTTGGTGCCCTGGTTTGGGGAGGAATGGAGGCACTTGGCATTGTCTGAAGCTGCTGCAGAATTCTGGTGTATGTGGGTATCAGAGAACATTGAGAAACTAGGCGTCAGAGCCTGAGGAAATGTGGCATCTTCTGGCTTTGCTACTTTGCTGTACGTTTACCTTGACTCTACCTGACTGAGTAGGACCAGATTCAAAGAGAACAAACAAAGATCTCTAAAATTCAGCTCCATTTTTAAACCCATCCCCACAAACCTAGAGAAACAGAAAGGTGGATTATATTTATATTTCACTGACAAGAAAATGGCAAATGGCGTGTCTCTGACAGCAACAACAACCAGAATGATTTCAACATAAAGGAAAGGCTGCTGGGGACAGAGGCAGCCTTGGGTCCAGGGGGGAAGCCAGGCGATGCTGCAGCTGCCACAGCGCTCCCACTGTGCGGTTACAAACAGGACAAGAGATGTGAGCTCCAGGGAGACCCCACGGAGGGAAGACAAGAGCACACCAGGATTCTCGAGACCTCTGGGGAAGACATGGATTTACAATCATCTGAGATTCTGAGTATTTCAGCATTTTGCGTTGGGTGACTAAGGGGAAAATAGCCATTGGAAGGATTTTTTTTTTTTTTTTTTTTTTTTTTTTTTTTTTTTTTTTTTTTTGGTTTTTCGAGACAGGGTTTCTCTGTGTAGCTTTGCGCCTTTCCTGGGACTCACTTGGTAGCCCAGGCTGGCCTCGAACTCACAGAGATCCGCCTGGCTCTGCCTCCCGAGTGCTGGGATTAAAGGCGTGCGCCACCACTGCCCGGCTGGAAGGATTTAATACACACCAAGAAGAGGGAAAACCTAACCCTTTTAAATCAGATATTAAGCTTTTATGGTCATCTTGTCCCATTTCAGACTTTGGGTTATATGTGGCTTAGAAAACTATACTTCAATAGAGCTGTTGGAGTCAGTGAGTTTTGTATTTTGGCAAGCTCAGGAAGATTACACTGTGTCTATCACAAACATAACTTATCTAACTGTTAAAACTCGGCAAGAATCCTGTTGTGTAAAATGAAATCTAGTTAATGTGACTTGACCGTGTGTGTGTGTGTGTGTGTGTGTGTGTGTGTGTGTGTGTGTGTGTGTGTGTATGGGTGGGTGTATGTGTGAGGTGCTAGGTAAGTGCCTAGCTCAGCTACTAGATTTTACACACACACACACACACACACACACACACACACACACACACACACACAAAGTATGATACATGATAAAGAAAAGACTGGGAATTGTAAACAAGAGTTTGTTGTTTGTTATGTGAAAATTAGCATCGGATTGCTTGAGTGCTCTGAGTGACAAACTGCTTCAGTACTGACTTAAGGCCCTTTTTCTCTTGCCTAAAACAACTCTGTCTCTGACCTGTGTCCCTTATCCACCTCCACCTCTCTTTTTGGGGTGTGTGTATATAAGTGTACATGTTTGTGTACACATGTGTGCAAGCATGGGTGTGTATGTGGAGTCCAGAGGTCAACATGACCTGGCCTCTGCCGTGCCCAGCCTCGGTGGTCTCTGACCGTATCTACTTCTCTTCAGTCTCCCTTCCCGACGTGTTACTGACATTTTGGGGTGGGTCATTTCTTGCTTTAGGGAGCTGTCTCGTACACAAGACGTCAAACTGAGTCCCTTGCCTCTATCCAGGCCATGCCAGTAGTACTACCTGTGATGGCTAATCTGGGTTGTCACCTGGACACACTTGGAGAAAAGGGACCTCGACTAGAAGAATTGCCTCCATCAGACTGGCCTATTGGCATATCTGTGGAACCTTCCCTTTCTTATCCTTGCCTTCCCTTGCCTTCCTTCCTTCTTCCCTCCCTTCCTTCCTTCCTCCCTCCCTCCCTCCCTCCCTCCCTCCCTCCCTCCCTTCCTTCCTTTGTTAATTGATGTGTGAAGGCCCATCCTGTGAGCAGAGCTATCCCTAGACAGGTGGGCCTGAGCTACATAAGAAAAGAAGTTGAAGACAAGCCTGAAAGCAAGCCGGTCAGTGGAGTTTCTGCATGGTCTCTGCTTCGGTTTCTGCCTCTAGTTTCTGCTTTGCCTTCCCTCAGTGATGGACTGTAACCTACAAGATGGAGTACACCCTTTCGCCCCCAGGGTGCTTTCGCTCACGGCATTTATCACAGCAACAGAAGAGCAAACTGTAGCACCACTCTCTGTCCCAATAACAAAATAATGAAAACGTCTCTAGATTTAGCCAAATGTCCTCTGGGGCTAAATCACCCAGATTAAGAAATACGGCTTAAACACAGGCCTCGGTGGGGCTGCCTCTGCCTGGACCACTGCTCTTTACAGTACCAGATACCTCTCTCACATCTCCTGAAGTATACACTTGATCATGACTGACTGACCTCTGTTGAAAATGCAACTCCTCCCGAGTCTCTAACCCCTCCACCTTGTTCTCCACCCTATGTAATTCCCTACATGCTAACGCTGTCCAACTTGGTCTTGTTCTTCCACCCTATGCAATTCCCTACATGCTAACGCTGTCCAACTTGGTCTTGTTCTTCCACCCTATGCAATTCCCTACATGCTAACGCTGTCCAACTTGGTCTTGTTCTTCCACCCTATGCAATTCCCTACATGCTAACGCTGTCCAACTTGGTCTTGTTCTTCCACCCTATGCAATTCCCTACATGCTAACGCGGTCTAACTTGGTCTGGTTTGTTCCTGTGCTCTAGAAGAGAAAAAACGACACAAAGATGCAGACACTGTATGTGTTCCTGTCGTTGTTTGAGACAGGCTCTTGCCTTGTAGTCTCGGCTGGCCCACATTGGCTTTGTGACCATTTTGACCTCAGCCTTGAGATCCACGGAGGCAGGAACTGATGGATGACAAACACGTGCTTGGGATAGAATTCTGAATCAGGAATGCGGTCACTTGTAGAGGGGAAAAGAAAATTAACTTTTTAAGAAAATTAACTACGGCTTCTATTGAAAACTCCATCTCCATAAAATGAAAGGCTCTAAAATAAGCCAAATCTCAGGGGGTGGGGGTCGGGGGAACTGGGGAAGCCCTGAGCAGTACTGGTACTTCAGACTCCCTCCTACTCCCCAGCTTAGTCCAGTGGCCTCTCAGGCATGCCTTCCTCAAGGGAACGACCGGACACATTTCCAGGGCTGGACCGGAAGAGTGTGCCTGGTTCCCATCTCCCCAGAAATGCTTTCTCAGGGCACTTCCTTTAGGGAGTTTTCTTAAAAAGACAACAGATCCTTAAATGATTCTGCTTTAGTATGGAAAACTACTTTTTTTAAAAGTGATCTGAGCGTGCTTTTTGTTATTTCTTTCACAAATAGTGAAATTAGTGAGGAGAAAGTAAGTGAAAGTATGTCTGTGTTTAAGTACAAAAACTATATTTTTTCTTATATTTGTAAAAAAAAAAAATGCTTGTATAGAAACCCAAACCTTTAAAATAAAAAGTGATTAATTAAAATACAATGGTGCTTTTAATTTTTTAAAAAGGGTTTTGTTTAACGAAGGACTCACACCATGAGGTCTCTGACTCTATTTAAAATTTCCTAAGTGATCATTAACTTAGGAACCTGGGAGGATGGAAGTTAAGACTGATTACTAATCAGCTGAAGATTAATAAAAAAATGAGGATAAAATTCAAAAATTCAACAGACGATAACAACAAAACATTGGAGTTACAAAAAGTCAAGTTCTCTGGTTTCAGAAACTCATGAACTTACACGTGACATAATTTCATATTACCAGAGTCCCGTGATGATCTGAACCAATACTCCAGGGACATAATCTGGCTCTAACACCTTCAACCTTCTTAAGAAAAATGTCCCCATTTCCAGACCTTGTAGTCACACAGCTTAGCCATAGGCTGTGTTCAGCAGATGTAACATGGAATGCTGAGTTAGGTTGGCATCTGGGACAAATACTGAATAAAAATTATTAATAGTTCCAAATCTAGCATGGGACAAATATTGTAATATTTGGGACACGGTTATACATCATTATGAGACAGTGTATCTCTTTTCTCGTATTTTAAATTCCTTTTGGCCCTTCCACAGAACCAAGTTAACAAGCTTCTGGTTCATCATGAAGTCATACTGTAAGAACTTGCTTCAAACTCATACATGTACGACACTGAGAATAAACTCCGATGTAACCGATGGACTTGGGTGATTGTAGCAAATACTATTCCAGTGAGAGGTGTTGATACTGAGAGTGGAGGATGTGTGGAGGCAGAAGGTGTGTGGGAAATCTCTGAAACCTCCTTTCAGTTTTGCGGTTACCTTACTTAAAAGTACAAACAAACAAACAACAACAACAACAACAACAAAACAAAAATGGTGGCGCATGCTTTTAATCCCAGCACCCTGGAAGCAGAGGCAGGTGGATTTCTGTGAGTTTGAGGCCAGTCAGCTTGGTGGTTTACATAGTGAGATTCAGGCCAGCCTGAGATGCATAGTGAAACCCTGTCTCAAACAACAGCAATAACAGCAACAGAAGGCTTTTCTGTCCCTGGGACATACTGGTTCAATGCGCTGAACCACAGGTTTAGCTTAGGATCCCTCTTTTTGATGGGAATCTC